TGTATAAGAGACAGCCCCCACCGTTGCTTAATAAAACAATCGTATCACCAAAGTGCTTGATACAAACATTACCCAAACACTAGGTACGCCTGGTATTTATTTTGATATAGGAAGTAAATATTTTATCAGTAAATTGGAAGGAGGTATATTAAAAAAATGTAATAATTTGAAATGCAAAGTAAAGAAGTCCTTAATTTTAGATTTTAATTGCGTACAAGTTCATAATTTGAAATTTTCAGATTTTTCTTTGACATTTGTGTCCTCCCTTAAATCATGTGATTATTTTTGAAAAATGTCTTTTTTTCAAATTATATTTATGCATTAAAAATCTCCTAATTTAATGAAAGATTTAATTCTTTCGTTTATTTTGAGGATAAATTAGTTAGTTTGAATTTTAAATTTTGCAATAGTATTATTTGTTGTCTTCTTCTTCTACGGCTTGGAAGTTCAAAATATTATTTCATTATTATCATTCAATCTAAGCAATTATAAGGTTTGAATTCATGACTCTATTAGGTTTATGTCTGTCATTTTAAAGGTGATTATACTATTTTTTTATATGCGAACACCATAATCGAAGTTCATTGTATATATGCGTTTACAGTGTAACAATAACAGTGTAAAATTTTATTTACACAAAACACTATATTATTATCTTTTTGTCAAACATATATTTATATATAACTTCATTGTAACAGTCCAGCTCTGTTTTAAACTTGTTATCACATCCACAAACCATTGAACACTATATGTGTTACAGTATTACATTGTCTTTACTATACTATGTGAGAAACACAGACGAATTTACATCTACATTGGAGAACTAGTAGGATTTTTTTTTCAAAAACAAAACCCTATAAATGTTCACGGAATGATTTAGGACTTTTTGTCGAGGAAGATGAAATAATTTTTAGATAGGAAGAAGAAACAGTAACCGTTTTCTGAAGATGCAACTTTTAGCGAATTAATGCTCCTAAAATTCAACGGTTAAGTCTTATCATTTGTGTGCCTAATTAATTTTAAGATGAGCAATGCTATTGGAATCTAATTTACTGACCTAATTTACCTATGACCTTTGAATTGACTGTGAGACCCATCAAATATTAGAATTTGATGTTGATCCAATGGTTTTGCTGAAACCATATCATTATATCAGTAAATTAGGTCAAATTTTTAGGTCCAAATAGTATTACTGTTTTAAAATATATTCCTAAAACCGTTTTTAATACAATGGACAGTTAAATCTTTTTATCTCAGTAGTGTACGTTTTTTAGAATTATGTATAATTTAATATGCTGACTTAACACTTACTTCTCTGTACGGAAGTTGGGTTTAATAGCTAATTTGTGGCGGTTTGTAAAAGCCCATTAACTAAGCCATTTGGATTATTACCAAACAACAGCTACTTAAACTGGCAAAACCCACGGCCCACTCCCTTGGAGCCCAGTCCAGAAATCAAAAAATGGAGAACACATAAATTACATTTACAGTTGATACAATTTGCTGACAACTCACACAAAATTAGAACAAAGTACATTTTTTTGTGACCATTCATACTCTTTATATGTTCACCATTGTTAAATGCATACTTTCACCAAACTGATGAAATATTCAGCCACCAGCATGAATTTATTTAACTTTAATGGTTGAAATGCAGAAGTCTCTTCATGATGTTATAGCTGGTTTCAGATATTGGAGAAAACCACATAAATTTTTTTTTTTAATTTTTTTTTTCAGTAACTAACAAAAAACAAAGGTTTATGAACATAAATATTTCTAGTAAATAAAATATTTTCTATTTGCTTTGAGTAATCCTAGTAGTGATGTAGTAATTTTGTTAATGGTTTATGAGTTATATATCAAAGTATTTAGTGGCGAAGGAAAGAAGAAATCAAGATATATCCCAAATGGAATATTTTATTCCATTTCCAGTATAATCGGGTGTTTGCTCCTTTTTTTGTTTTTTCATATCTTGATTAATGATTTATCGATGCCTTTTGTTTAAATTTGAATTAATATTTAAGTAAAAAACCTTAATTTAATACAAATAATTTCAATAAACAAATTCAAATTTAAAGAAGAGTGAAATATAACCATTGGATCATTAAAGTATAATGAAATCTGACTAACCGTGAATTAATATTCAGTTTTAATGTTTCAATAACAGAAATTAATTGGTATTGGAGAGTTTGACGGGATTTGACACTTGCATATCAAACTCATCAACAAAACCTGTGTGTTGGATTTGCCTGAACAGTAAGCTGCTATGATAATTCACTGTACAATGTTTTAGTACTCAGAAAGTTCAAAATCTCAAGTTGGAGTTTCACAAAAAGACACTAAATTGATCTTGATACACTTGATTTGTGAATGAATACTCCACGTTTATAAAATTATTAAAATGTTTGATACATTAATACCTAACAAATTGAGAGATATTAAAGAATAGATCACGTGACAGAATCAAAGAAACTTATTTGAAAGAGAAATAATTGTCTTAGAATTACAAGTTAGAAAACCATTGATGAAGACAAAAACATCGAAGATAATAGTTATAAAAAGACAGAGAAGGACGAAATTAAAAGGGACATTCAAACCCTCACAAGATTCACGATCTGGACATTTTTAAGAATAGTGTTAAAGACTGTTAATTCAGTCTTTCTGCAATTAAAAACCCTTCGATTGAATTAATAAAGGAATTCTCTCTTATTAGTTTACGATGCTGTTGTTTATTATTTTAAATTCATCCAAGAAAATTTTAAAACAATTAAACTCATCACTAACAATCGCATCCGTGGATTGGGTCCTTTCTTTCAATCACAACAGATTTTGTAGCAATAGTTCCGAATTTGGATAAACAAATGAAGTGACCGGACACAAGGCCATAGTTGTGCTAATTGTCTCCCTTGTTTTTGTTAGCCAAGCAATTACGATTGAAAATCCAGGAAGATTTGATGGGTTCAAGTCTTCAAGAGCTAAAGGTAATGGTAACCGAAAAAAAAACTTCTTTATGATACACAAAAGGGGAAGCTTCTCATTACGTCTATACAATCAGCTGTTAGTATTGTTCTCAACCTCGAAAATTACTTATATTATATAAACACTGTCATTGATGCATGGAACCAAAAACTGCCCCTGATGCATGATCAGACGCCCGGAAATGTCCCGGGTCCGCGAGGTTGCAATAGCTAGGATAAAAAGCTTTGCAGAGCTCGTTATACTTGTCGTTATCGAAGTTGTGAATCTTCATGAGCTTCTTCTGCTTCACCAGAAAACGGCGTTGGAAGTAGCCCTGAAAAGATGGTTCTGTGGAAGTCCTGAGGAAGAAGCCATATGCAAGAGCAAAGTGAAGTGAGGTGACAAAGAAGCAAATGGGCTCCATCACATCCCAAGTCAGCTCCCAGAAAGTGAGCCTCATGAAGCCCAGTGTTTGGAGAACTAAGAAGCCCAGCCCACAGTAGAGCTCTCCTCGGACCAAAGACCCGGCTTTCTCGTCAATTATCGCCTTTTCTCTTTCCATTTTTTCGAGTTCTTTTATTCTTGGGTCGTTTGGTATGGCTGTGGATAGATAAATTATTTTCTCCATGGATTTTGCTACCTGTAATCACATGTTAAATAAGGTGTTAGCTTATTGAATTCCTTGAAGTAGTGGGCTTAATCAGAAAATCACTATGAAAAAGACTGCTATATTCCCGATCTGCCCTTGCATGTGGAGGGTATGCATAAACTTTTACAAGGTACGTGAGTCTGAAACATTTAATATGATTTTATGCTATTATTAATATGTGATGATATCATAATCTTATAAAAAAAATAAAAAATACACATAATATATTGAGTCTGTATGAAACTAGCAGGTAACTTTTAAGGGTTTTGAAATAAAATAAGTCAGATTTATTTGATCCTCAATTTTTTTATCAGTTTATACAACAATTTTTGGACCCAAAAAAAAAAAAAACTAATTTAGACTAATTCAAAAAAATTGATTTTATGAGGTTTTTTTTTTCGATTTTTTGAAATTTGTCACGTTCTCATATAACTTTTTAGTTTATTATATTCATAAAATATTATTAGTGACATAAATTTTTTTTTAAATTCATATTTTAAGAATTATTATGTATAATCTATACATATATGTAATTATTATTTTTTATTTTTACACTAAAAACAGTTAAAAAGTCACTTTAAACAGACTTTTTTAATTTTTTAAAAACACCCCAAATAGTTTTGGAGAGTTTTTTTTTTAACTCTGACTTTTTTTGATAAATTTTTTGAACTGCAATTTTTCATCTAAAAAGTCATTTCCAATCATGCCAATTATATGTAACAAAAAGTTAATCATCACGCACCTATGTAATTCTTACAATAATGAAGGGTAAGTTCGGGATTTCGAAAATAATTCAAAATTAAAATATCATATTTGCGTGACGGGTAAAACAGTTAGTAATAGTTTATACCTGCTCCGGCCGGAGAAACACAACGTTGCCCAAAACGATGACGTTTCCAGACTCATCCAACGTCTTCGCAAAATCCGACCCTTGTTCCCGATTCGAACACAGATCAACACAAATCTGAACAAACTCGCTGTACGAAATTGAGTTCACCGGAATTGTTCTCAGCCTCGATCTCAGCTTCTCCATCTGCGAAGACCTCAAAATCTTCTTCGCATCATGAACCGATAGTTCTCCAACAGAATCTTCCAGTGACTTCACCGTCGCCGGCATCGGAGGACTCAGTCCTTCAAGCCGGAGACGATGATCACCGGCAATGTTCACTGATCTCAGCTTCTCTCTCAGTTTCTCACCAACGGGAAGACTAAGGAACTCTGGCAGTCTTGCTGATTGGTTTATCATTCCTCGCCGTTGGAGGAATCGCCGGAAAAATCCGGTCTCGGCGGAGTCCGGCGAGGTAATGAACTCGCGATGGAAGCTTGTTTTAGCCGCATTTGGAGGGACAACGGTGTTCTTGATCGATGGTGATGAAATTGGTGAGTGTTCTGAGTATAGAGCTGTGAGTGGTGATAGGTCTCTGTTTTGGTCGAATAGGCGCTTCGCTAGAGTCCTTCGGAGCGCCATTGATGAAGAAAAGATTAGAGAGAGAGAGAGAGAGAGAGAGAGAGAGAGAGAGAGAGAGAGAGAGAGCTAGAGAATAAGAGAGAAAATGAGCTCTGAGGAACTAGTGGAGGTGCTTGTGGGGTTTATATAGCGTCCTGAAAGTGAGGAAGATTGAAAAGAATCTCTTCTGTCACACAGAGTAATTGAAAATCTAGAAATACGTCACACACAATAATTGAATCTTTTTAATCAAAATACTATATTGTTTTCGTAAATACATTTGTTCGATAAATTGTTCTTACATTAAAACTCATAAATAATCTAATAACGACATTGAATTAGGTTATGTTATATTTTTTTAGGGTGAAATACATTTTTAGTCTTCAAAGTATGCGTTTAGTGTTTATTTGGTCTTTAATCATCCAATTGTATTTATTTAGTCCCTAAGATTCCCAATTTATATATAAGTGGTCCAATCCTAAATGTCCGAACAAAAATTATAATGGTTCTGACCAATGTCAATTAGGTGATTCCTAATTTTATGTCTATTTGATCAATAAAATTCCTAATTTGAGTATATTTGGTCCCCCGTAATTGACGCATTAACGATTTTTTGACGAACATTTGGGATTGGACCACATAAATACAAATTAGAAACCTTAAAGGCTAAATAAATACAGCTGAAAGATTAAGAACCAAATAAACATTATATGTATACTTGGGTTGATATAATTTGCACAAAATGATTCTTTTTTACATCCAACCCAACTCTTCATAACATTAATTAGTTCAAGCATTGTACCATTAAGTCACAAAAATTAACCAACTGATTGGGACATTTCATATCTGATAATGAGTTTAGTTGCATCAACGTATTATGCAAAGTGCCAAATGGTGTTCTAATAAGTTGACCAAACACTAGATTGTGGTCCAACACTAAATGTTGTGAGAGTGGGCACAATTGAAGATATTAAAAAAAAAAAATGACACAAAATATGTATAAGTATATTAAAAAAAATTCAGGGTGGGCTCGGGCCTCCTAACTCATGTTTCCCTCTGCCCCTACTCTAAGTCGTTCCAGTTTAGCTCAATTTTGACTCTTTCATATTCATTGAATTTAAAAAAATAAATTGAGTTTGATGAGTTTTCTATATTCGTTCTATAAACGAACCAAATCCAAGTATCATGTAACTTGACTTAAGTAAATTCAACATGAATAGGTTGTTGTTTAGAAATAATTCTAATTTCATGACAAATAACCTATATTTAAAAGATAAACAATCTAAAAATTATCTCCAAATAAGTCTAGATCATGTATACTTCTCTCCCTCTCCTCAAATAGATTTTTGAAGAAAATTTTATGATATCATGGTTAGTTATGAAGATTTTGAAAGATATTTGTAGACATATTGATTATATTAGAACTAATTATTATGTTTTAAGATTTAACTTTTCATTTTTTTTTATGTGGGGTCAATTGTAGTTCGAATACACGTAAGCTTATGTTGAACCAAACTTGAGCAACACTTTAAGCTATATGAGTGAACTTAGGCTAATCAAAATTGAATTGAACTGAATCAATTTTGAGCTCAGTACACTGCTGTGCAACCACACATTTTAGGTTATCCTAAATGGGGAAAGAATTGAAAGATAACGCTTTTGCAAAGGGGTCGGCCTTCGACCTAAGTCCACTGTAGCTTCTATTTGCAGGTGTTTGGAGAATATTCTTATTCTCTAATCATGAAAGTTAATAAGCGCGATCCCAAATTGAGAAGTGTTGTCTTTTAGGAGCTAATTTGATTCTTTTTTTATTTGCACGAGGTAATTTAGTGTGCGGTTGGAGATGAATGCGAGAAAACTCAAAACTAAGGAGAGCGCTGATTGGTGCTTTATAGAGAAATGTACTTTCGGTTGGAAATAATGATATATTTTTTAAAAAATTATTAAGTATTGAATGAAAAATTGTTAAAGTTTTTGTGACTTTTAAGAGTTATTGAAAATGTGTGAAGTGAATATGACATGAAAGACTATTAATTTAAATAGTTACATCTTTTCATAAAGTCACCATTAACCCTTTTTTTATTAAAAGACACCATTACAAATACTCACAACTTTTCATAAAGTCAACATTGCTACCTCTTGGACTAAAAGACATCATGTCAAATGGTTGTACATTTTCTTAAAGTCACCACTGATACTTTTTAGATTAAAAGGTATCATTACATATTTTTGCACCTTTTATGAAAAATCACTAGTGAATTTATAAATAAGTGATTCATTACACTCCCAAATCACACTATTGAACAATTCAAGAATTAATCACACTATTGAATAATTTAAGAATTACTCTCTCATTTTAGCACTCTCAATAATCTAAAATACTGAATTAAGTATTCAGTCTTTCTTCTCTCTGTGTGTGTGTGTGTGTGCATATTGTTGCATTATTATTTCAAGTTTGGTTCAATTATAAACACAAAATTGTATTCATTAGAGTCTTGGAAATTGAAGTGTTGCATCTTCAAGAACGAAATATGTTCTATCTTGGGAGATAGTTGATTATCAACATTAAGCATCGAAAGGCTACAAATTTGTCTTAAGGAAGCTGTGATTACATCTTAGATCAAATTATTATTTTTATTATTGAATTTATGGATTTTATTATTTGTGCAAATCTACGTCCTTGTGAGTGCATTATTTTTTTTTTAATTTCTATACATTTTTTTTAGATTAGTGTATAAGTTAGACTTTATACAATTTAATATAATCTAATTATATACATATTTTCATTAACAATTTCAACTTAATTATATTCATGGACTCCAATCCTCCAATGTCGTCACGTTTTTGCTTACTCATTCAGTTTTTATTTTTGGTTTATATACATTTCAAACGTATAATACACATGCAAATCCATCACAAATCGATACCTACAATACTCATGCAATTTGCACTCTTGGAAAAAGAAAATAGCTTTTACAAACTTCCCCCTTTGCCAACGGCTTCATAAAGCACTGTTTATGACGTTTTGTTCATTTGCTCCTCAAATTCATGCATTCACTTTTGTGCTACAATTGCATTAGTTGAATTTTGCATATGAATTTGGTAAAGGCGATGGCGCTAGACACTCTTCCTGTTCTGTCTACTGCGATATCCATTCACACCTTGTTTGTTTTTTGAGGGAATAAAAGCAAGCAGGAATCACCTTTTCTATTTTTCTAAAAGGTGTCCGTGATTGTATTTTCTTTCACTGATGTATCTGATTTATACTTTCTTTTAGCAAATTTCTCTACGTAGCTCTCATGAATGTTATCTAAATCTTTCGCGATCATTTTTTGTTGGAGTCTTCAATAAAAATAGTTATGTTTTATTCATTCCGATGAAAGTCTCAGTTTGGCAATTGTGTAAATTATATAGAATTATTGCAAGACAGTTTACTACCCATATAATAAAATAGTTTACAATTCAAATTTCAAAAGATAAACAAAATAACTTATATTATTCGTAGTTGAGATCGTTTTAAATTTTACTTTAACGGTTAATATTAATACCTTAAATTTAATAGAAAAAATAAACTCCAAAAGGTGTGTTTGAAGTGACTTTTTAAAAATACTTTTAAAAATTATGTCTCATAAATACTTTAAAAAAATAATGTTTGAAACTGCCCCCCACTATCTCTACCACCACCGTCGCCGCTGCCGCTACCTCCATTGTCATCGCCGCCACCCCCCACCGCCACCATTGTCGTCGCCCTCGTAACCACCACCGTCACCACATTCATTGTCACCCACCACAATCATCACCGTCTCCTATCATCACCACTGTCGCCCACCACCTCTCACCCCCACTATAAATCGATGTTTAAATTATTTTATCTCTTTTCTATATTTGTGATTTTATTTTAGATATGAATACAAATATGTTTATTGTTTACCATTTTGTATTACTCTGTACTTTCAGACACAGATAATAACTAATAATTTCATATCCCACAAACAACATGTTTAGAGGTATACTTACAAAACGTTATAAATCAAAACGAAACTTCTTGAAGAAGATATGACTTAATCCGCACTCGCTCAAGCCATTTACTTTCTCTCTCTTTTGTTGCCATATAGTATTATGATATACCGTTATCTTAAATCGACCTTAGAGGCGAAGTTCATATTCTTTTTTTCATTTTGTATATTGTAAAATCATGGTCTTTTTACTTTACTATCGTGTAAATGGAATAACTTTTATTTACAGATATTTTTTTTTCTTAATTAAATTGAGGATTGGCATACCAATGCATGGCCATAGTTGATTACTGATGTTATTGTTTCAATAATGATTAAAGCTCTTATGATTGGAAATAAAATGTTAGATAATCGAAGGAAAAGGCATTGCGTTACATGCATTATCCACTATGCTTCTTTATAAATGGCCAAGGGTGCATCCATTACAAGCATTAACCATTTTTCAAACCAAAGTTGAAGTGTGGACCATGAGAGAAATTGCACACACCACGTTGCTGATTGCTCCATCTTTTTTTTATAACGATCAGGGGTATTCAGACCGACTTATACAAACTTTGACAAATTCTATCTCTAATCCGGTCAAAAGCAAACAATCTATACCGGAACTGGAAAGATTGCTCCATCTTTTTTTATCATTGATTAGTGTCTAAAAAAGAAATTTTATTAATTATTATTATTGTCATTTAATTATCAAAAATTGATAATGATATACCAACAAAAATTTCATAACGAAAATTCAAAATAGAATAGGGTGGGTTACTAACAGTCTTTCATTTCAAAAAAAAAAACATTAACATGATGATATTTATAAAAACTTTATTGTAAGTGGAATTTTTTGCAAAAAAATTTTATATACAAAGCATTTCCTAGGGGGTAATTGGACAGGTCAACTCGAATTCATACCGTGCCCAACCCTAAATATTTGATACTTGAACAAAGAGTATTTATACTTGACTTACGTTCGGGCAAAAAGATATACATGGTTTAAAGTCAAATAATACTTGGATTGAGACCTTGAGTTTTGGGGACTATTAGAACATAAATCGAAATTTCAGGCCAAGTTGCATA